AAAAAAATCAAATATCGGCGCTCGTAACGAAACGCTTAGACTCCTTTCCACTCTATAGCAGAAGTCGCGGTAATCCGACTATCGTTCGGGCGGCTTGGGTTTCTCCAATAGGACTTCCCAAAAATTTTAGTTTTGGGAGCATGGTCGGAAATTTTCAAAATAGGGGGAAAAAAGCGGATTTCCGCTTTTTGGTGGAAGTCTTTCATCCCTGCAACACATAATTTTTAAATAAGTCTAATACGAAAATCGATGATTGATATTAAAATCGCCTGAATAAGAATCGAGACTTTGTGAGAATCTGGCGCAGTTCCCAATATTTAAAATTCCTAAAATCAGCCAAACGTACATAAAATCCTAAAATCAAACAATACGTGTCATCATCTGAAAGACGGGGAAGTCATTCTCTCACACTTACGCGCGTCAAAAAGTTAAACATAGAAATACTGGAAATAGAGCTGTTTTCCTGAGTTTTCGATACTTTTCAAGGTCATTTTGAAATTTTCAAGGATCTAACATCATTTTCAAGTACTTCTAGGGGCCCTTGAAAATAAAAATGAAATTCAAGTACTTTTCAAGGCCGCGGGAACCCTGGAGTAAAAGGGGAGAAAATAGCCAAAATAAGTAAAAATGAGAAAGGATTGGTAACTATGTAGTTTGAATTTTCTGTTACTCTTTGAAAATCGGTGAATTTTCAGAAAAAGCGGAATGCTTATAAAAAAAAAGTGAAATTTTTAGAAAAATCTGAATTTTTGATAATAAAGCTGAAATACAAGAGATAAAAGTGAAAAAAGCTGAAATCCGCTATAAAGCAGAAAAATCTCATCCCTGCAATAGCGTAGAATAGACAATACAACTCAGACTCAAAGTGTAACAGCAAAGAATAAGTAAAGTATTAATAAAAGAGACTGCAAAAAAAATCCTTTATCAAAAAATTTCACTAATAATAAATCTTCATCCTACTTACCGTTCTGCAAAGTCTCACTACCGCCTGAAAGGGCTCCTCTTGGCAATGTGCCAGCAGGTGTGAGGCCTTTAAGTTGAAGTACGCTTTCACTCTCCTCTCTAAAAAAAATAATAACTTACTGTTACAGCTACTATGAATTAGCTGTAGTATGAAATTCAATAACGTAAAGATTCATAGAAAAAAGCAAATAAAAGAGCTAACACTGACCGCAAAACTGAAAAGACGCGAGCCATTTTCCCAATGGCACGAATCTTATTCCTTATAACTTCCTTTCTTGCACTTCCAGCACCACCTAAACAGTTATCAAAAAATATTTTTTGAACAATATTATAAAATACGACATAATCTATTTTTTTTTATCAGAAGATGTGTAGCAAGAATTTTCAACAAAAAATAAGCCCCGTTTAAGTACTTTTTAAGCACTCAAAAAATATTTTAATCACTTTCTAAAAAATTTTTTTAATTAGGATCTGTATAGCAATAAAGAAATTTTTTTTATCATTAAAAATTCTTGATTTATAAACATAAAATCAATAAAATTCACAAACATTTTCAAAAACTTTACATAATCTAGATAAAATAACTAGTAAATATTGCAGAGACAATTGCGAAAATCATGCTTTTTTTGTAATTTAGAACGACAATCCAAGCAGCAAAAATATCTCTGTTTAAAAAATAGCAAATTAAGTGCTTTTTAGAAATCCTGAATAAAAAAAAGCACCTCTAAGTGCTTAAAAAAAAGCACCTTTAAGTACTTTTTAAAATTGCTATGCACCCTAAATCACTGCAACTTATCACAGAGATATGTGACATACAAAATAGTAAAAAGGGGATAATGGTCAACAAAATTCCAAGAGACAGGTCTAATTTTTAAGGCCAGCATGTCATGGAATCAAAAGTAGTAAAACAGCTAATAGTTCAACTGAAATTACACAATTACTATTATTCTATTAATTTAATATCTAAAAATAAAGAAATTGTCCAGAAGTATGGAATTATGTTTAAAACCATTTTCTTTCTTCCATAAAATATTTAGAAGTTTAGGCTTAAAACTAAAAATAGATTACTTTTTTTTAAAATATTGGACACAAGCTATAATTTTTCAGGGGCCGTGACGAGACGAAGATTAGCAGACCTCTGGTTATGAATAATAAAAATTTTAAATGAACTTTCATGAAACTTAACAAAATATGTAATTATTATCGTAACTGCCCTTTTTTAGGTTATGCCCAGCTTAAATTTATATTTTGATAGTTTGATTTAGAAATCAAGTTTCCAACATTTGGATAATTTCAAATTAAGCTTAATAAAAAATTTACTTGTTTCAATTGTGCTTTGCTATATGATTTTTTTACATAATTTCGAGCCAAATGCAATACCTTATCTTGGTTAAGATGCAGATCTTATGAATAGCTGTCCTACTAATGAAAATAAGAATTTGTCATCATTCAATCAAGTTAATCATAATGGAATTTGATTTGCTGATTTCAAGATGGGTACCAGTTTGTATATAAAGCAAAGGTCGCTTGTGTACAATGCAAACCATATTACCCAACATTGCTTCACCTTTATGACCCTAGCAAAGTACATTATTGAGTAATTTAAGAAAAAGTGATTTTTCTTTTCGAAAATTCAAGTTTTTTCAAAAGTTATATACAAGACCAAGTGTCCTGAACATGGACAAATGAAAGTTATAAAAAGTTACAACTAAAGATGTGTTTAGAAATTAAATTTCTTTCTTAGCACCATACTGAGCATCATGATTGTATGATAGTTGTAAAAAACTTTCAATTTAAAAAATATTTATATATTAGAAAACTATTTTACAAATAACTCTCTTCCACAACTTAGAAAAAAAATTAAAATATGAATAAATAAAGTTTGCTCTAGATCAGGGATCGCCAAACTTTTTTGATCATCGACCCCTATATGATTTTTCGAAATCTCCATCGACCCCCACAAAAGTAATTTTCTGTTAATTAAAATAAAACTCTATTAGATACTGTGTTTATACATTTATTTTACGATTTTAAACATTTATTAAAGTAATAGTACATTGTGTAACAATAGTTTTATGAAAAATATATTAATATTGAAATTTAAATACCTTATTATTAAATAATAAGTAACTATGCATAAGTAGATATGATAAAAAAAGCAACTAAAGATTTACTGCTTCTTGATCAATGAGATGGGTGTGCCTGGTGTTTTTTTGCAAGGTTCGTATATTGGGTTCAAAATTGGTCAATTTTAATTTTCATCATTTTGTAATTTTCGTAAAAAAATACAAAGTGTGCTATAGTTTTGTCGCAGGCTGTACTAATCCATATTATTAATGCTTACCTTCTTTTTTGTGCATTGATAATTGAAATTGATATCTAAACTAAACGAACGGTTTTAACGAAACAATAATTAATTATCCAAAACTATAAAAATTTTAATAATGACACTGCAAATATTCAACACAGTTTGCAAAGACAGCTGAAACTGTGTATGATATTTGCATTTGTAACGTCAATGCTCGTCACACGTGACATTTGGACAAGCGCACATATGCATATGACTTATAAACTGCGCTGAGTTCGTGCCACAGCGCGGTGGTACGTAAATACTTGTTTCACCCCAATAAATATACGTTTATTAATTTATGTTTTATAAAGAAACTGATATTGAGTCAATTATAAAAAAAATTCACAAATTTTACATACTTAATTAGGTATGTGTGATTTGCGTATTGAGAACTGTTTTTTTTCCCCCGACCCACAATCGAACCTTCCGATTCGGATCGACCCCCATTCGCCCCCCCTGTCTCAAATTGACCCCAGCTTTTGTTAAATAGACCCCTGGGGGTCTATATAGACCACTTTGGCGGCCTCTGCTCTAGATGCTTAATTGCATAGTTGAAACTCCAGCAACAATAATGATTTTTACAAAGTAGAAAAAAATTTAATAGAATTCTTGTGAGAATAAAGTATAAAGAATGCAGATTTGCATATTCATATTCAATTACATTTATTACTTCATGAAACTTTTATTTTGCTAATTTGTTATCAAGTAACTAGATCATAGAAACTTAATGAAAAATTTAAATAATATTTATTCAGTAAAAGCATGTTTGGGAACTAATCACTGAGGGTTCCAAATTTGATAATCCAACCGAAATATCTGCTTCTAACCCCCAGAGCCCAGGGTCAAGAAAACTGGGCTGGGCACATAAACTCTTGGCCATCCATGGACAGATATGTTTTATAATTATATCATTGCCATATTATAACAACTATAGTAATGGTATCATTGTAAATTTAAGATCTACTTAAAAATGTGATGTTTTTTTTATGTTCTAAGAATTCCAATACATGTTTTATCATTTCACCTTAAAAAATATATTATTTTATAATCAAATTCAATAAATTTATATGTCAATACTTAATTTAAATTCAAAACAATATGCAAAAGAAACAAAACTTGATTCTTACCTTCAAATGTATCATCTCCTTCAGACATAAGTTCATCATCCGAGCAAATATTGAGCACATTAAGAAGCATCTCAGTCACTAAATTAAAATAGATTATTTTTCTAAATAATAAAACCCACAATGAATTGAAAAAAACAACGAAATTTGAAAATCTTTTGAATTGTTTTAAAACATAATATTGACTAAAATAAACAAAATTATGATTATGTATTGTAGTTAACTTAAGACAATTATATTCATAATAATGTTGCGAATCTTTAAAAATTTTATATAAACCAGTTTAGAATTTGTAAAAAAAAAAAAGAAAGGAACGAGGTTTGGTGAAAATAATTTTGGTTAATATAAAAATGTATTGAATAACTATGAAAGTAATTTTTGCAAATTTCACATTTATATTCTTTTGGATTTTTGTGTGATATAGTCAATCATTTACACAAAAATGATCATGAGTTAAAGAATTGTTTTCTAAATTTTAAAACAATGTGAAAGACTCTTTTATGAAGGTAGTTCAGAATTTTATAAAAGATCTTTTTTTAAAAATCACGATTTAGATCTTTTTCAAGATACTTTTGAAATTATATGTAATTACTTTGAAATAGCATTTGTTTTATTTGGATTTTATTATGATATGGGTCAATTAAGAGTTCTTTAAATTCAAATATTCTTCGGTAGAAAAATTAAAATATTCTTTAAAATATAAAAAAATTTCCTTACAATTACAAATTATTAATGATAAACAGAAAATTGCACAGCAGAGGATATTTATTTTTTAAACACTTGAACAATAAATTAAATGTTTAAGAAAATTAGGGGATTAATAAAGAAAAGTAGAGTTTAATATTGTATGGACAAAAGAAAATTTAAAAATGCATGTAAATGTAATAAATTAAATAAACTAGAAAATGGAAAAACTAAAAATTGTACTTGTTGAAAAATATACATACATCACTAATTTGTGTTGTGTGGCAAATTTTAGTACATCATAAAAAAAAAATAGCTTTTGCATCTATATATAATACATACCCTTCTCTCCAACAAAAGGAAGAGACCATGTGAATACATCCATAAAATTTGGCAACCAGTAGGGGTGTGGAGAACAATTAAATTGTCGAATATTCATCACATTGTTTTCATACTTCAAAACTGCGGCTAATATGGAGAGAAAATGCAATATTTATTATATTCGAAGAATAAAATAGTAAAGTAAACTGACTTGAGCCAGTGCTTTCTGTTTCGATAAAGTAAAACTTGACTTTTAGAATTAATCAGATAATTTTATGTTTTAAATACTACAAAAATATAATTTTCTCCTAGAATTTTGGAAAGTTGTTTTCTGTCTTTGAAAGCATAATTATTTTATGTAGTTAAGTCCATCAATAAGAAAACACTGTTTAGAGAAAGCAACATTTAAAGTTTTTGAATATGTATATCATTTATCTGTGCACCAATTTAAATGTACTGTTTCTTAATCATTTCTGAGTTTTAGTTCACAATCAGGAGTGCTTGAATGCGAGATCGCAAAATGTCAGCTGTCTGATTTAAGAAACAAAAAAGACACCAGCTTCAGCAAAGTCACAAAAATAGAAAAAAATTACAATAAATAAATATTTTTAGCAGATAGACTATCATTAAAAAAAAAAACCCTATTAATTTCATCATTGCCAAAAAGGAGCATACATTAAGAAAATTTAAAATGGTAAAAAATGTTTCGAATATGATTAAAGGAATGTAAAACTTAACACAAATTTCCTTCAAAAACTAGATTAATAATTTTCAGTAAATTTTGAATTTCAATAGTTAAATTAAGTATTTCCCTATTCTTAAAACATAAGCTTTATTTTCTTATATCTCTTAAACTTACACAAAATGTTTTTGAATATGCTTATTGTTCAATTATAAAAAAATTAAAAAATAATAATTTTTGGAAACTTTCTCACAGTATTATTATCCCTTTAAAACCAACTGCCTTTTAAAAACTATATTAGTTTATTTTATTTAAATCTGATTTATATTTTTTTTACAAAAATTACAATGAAACTTTTAACGAAGCATTTATATGGTTTGCTATATTTTGCTATGAAATCATTTATAAGTAATAAAAAAATTAGAAAACATTTTTTTGATTAAAAAAAAGTCTTTCAGTGTCATTTTAAATTGTAGGATTTAAAAAAAAAAAAATCAAATAATTGTGTAATTTTAACATCACTAAAATTTGTAGGCAATTTACAATATTTGTATACAATCTAGAAATAGTTAAACACAACTATTCTTAAATATAATGATCAATTAAAAAAAAAAGCTTAAATCAATGTCTAATTTTAACATCAATAAGCAAGGTTGGCAAGTTTCTTCCGAGGTGGTTAAAACCACTGGTAGAAACCGGTTAAAACTGGCATGGCAGAAACCCCTTTTCTGCCACATTTGTGGTAGAAATTCAGAAAATGACATAAAAGTAAGTACTGAGATTGACATACAATGGATAATTCATAGAAAAAACAATTAAATCCTAAACAAATTAAATGCTAAACAAAGTAAACAATTTATTTACAAAATTATCACCATTCAAAATCAAACATTACATTGTTTGCACTCTGCAGTAATATATATCAAAAGACAAGTTTTGATGCAGTTTCTAAACCTAAACAATTTCTCAATTTACTACGCACGAACGAGAAATTTGAGAAGATTCTCTTAAGTACAGCAGAACTAGCAGGCATTGCTATGCACAAAAGATTAAAACTGTTACTGTTATAATAATTGGATTGTTACCATACAAATTATGTCTTGAAAAGAAAAAAAACTATTGGAAAATAGCTCTATTCAGTTATGTTAAGAGTTGTTGTTGTTGTTAATTTACGTCGCACTAGAGCTGCACAATGGGCTATTGGCGACGATGTTAAGAGTTAAATGATAATAATTACTGAATTTCAGAGTTTAATACAATAAACTAAAATCTAGTATTTATATTTATTATAACAGTACTTTATTCTTTATTTTGCATAAATATTTGATATGCTGCACTATTTATATTTAATATAAACAAAATAATATATATTTACAAACAGTGAATTAATAAGTTTGTTGCAGTTACATGGAGTTAAATTTTTCAGTTTACTTAAATAAAATGTCATTAACCAATTACTAGAATTAATATAGAAGTTTTTTAATTTCGGCCAGTTCTTGCCGGTCTTTACCGGTTATAACCAGTTTCTGCCACTGGCATGGCAAAAACCAGTTTCTGCCGGCAAAAAGCCAACCCTGTCACTAAGCAATTTAGAATATTTATATACAATCTAGAAATGGTTAAACACAACTATTCTTAAATATAATGGTCAAATCGACTGTTTACCTTTGTTGTTGTACACATCCAAGTAGTTCGGAGCTGAAAATATGGTGATGAGTGAAGGGAAACCAGTTGTCTGACTTTTTCTGTACATTCTATAACTGAAAATTTAATGAGGGAAAAATGAAAATACTACACATAACCTCCATCCATGCAATTTAACCTTTAAAACAGTCGAGAGCATTAATATAAATTAAATAATAATGTAGAGTAAATAAAGTAATGTAAATCAATGAAAATAACTAAAAAAAAACTTATTAAGAGATTTATGAATAGTCTATCTCTGCACTTATATAATAATACCAAGTATAAATTTAAGTTCAGAATTATAATTTAAAACTTTTTCAAAACAAGACTGTTCAAAATTTCTGAAATTTTAGAATTCAATTACCTTTGACTCTCCCCTCCATATTATAAATTTTATAAAAATTTAAAGTAATAAATAAAAATGTGCATATTTTAAAAAAAGAAAAGATTATCTTTAACGTTAGATAATTTATAAATTTAATTGTTTTATTATTGTTGCTAAACTGTTAATAAATGTTGCCAGTCATTCAGCGTTTTTTTTTTTTTTACAGTAACTGAAAAAGAAATCATATGAAGTAGACAAAAAAAGTATATAAATTTTAGAAGTTAACGAATCAACAAAAATTTAGGATAGTTCACAAATTCTCATCTAGAAGACGGAATATGTTATGTACAATAGCAATTATTACACAATGCCACTTTGAATAAAACACTAAATTTTAATGTACAGAAAAAATATTTCTGTACATTGTTTATTATTTAAACAGATATTATATCATAATAATTACAAACACTCACGGCAGTGGAAATAATTTTTCAACAATTTTAGGAACAATATTCAGCATATCTAAATAAAATGCAAAAAATAACTAAAACATACCCAGCATCTTGGGCTTCATGTGCTCGTATTACTGATAAAAGGTTGTTTTGTTGTAAAAATTCACAACATGCTGCATAACTAGAAGGAAGATAGATAAGGAAGCAAATTATTTACAGATCAACACCCAGGTTTTAATTCATAACAAGAATGTAATAACTGTTAAAAAGAAAATATAGATAAGTTTGATAGCATAATTAAATGGCTAAAGAATAGAACGGGACTTTAGTGCTAAACTGTAAGTAAAAAAATACAATGATAAAATATGTTTAATGGAAAAAAAAAGGTATTTTATGTCATAAAATTTTATTAGCTAAAGAAGATAGAATACCAAATGGCTTAAGACATAGTAAGTCAGATTTTTGAAACCATGGAGGGTAAAAATTGCTAGAACTCATCTGAGGACAATGGGTCAGAAATAAATAGCTAATATCTATCCAGATACATTTTAATAATTAATATCAACAAAGATATAATCCAACACTGTTTCAGAAATTTTTTAAATACCTCCATCCCCAATTTAATGATTAGAGAAACAAATTTGCTAATATATTACTATCCAATTATTGTTGCTATATGGTAGCATTTTTCATAATCTATAATTAATTTGGGGGAAGGAAAAAAAAAAGATCTTTTAACTTTTCTTTTTAAGCATTTCACTATAAAGGAAATAAAATCCTATAAAGGAAAAAAAATTGTAAAACAATTCTGACAGAAACTGAAGCGTGAAATTAAGACAGTTGGAGAAGGTTTTTGTACAGATCAATCTCTAGATATATAAGGTAGGAGTATAAGCGAGATGAAAGATGGTTTTAAAAGATACCAGTGTTTTCATCGCAGAAAAAAAATGGGTGAGAATTTCTCACCCTTTCTTAAAAACAGGGTGAGATTTCAAAAAGTTAAGTAAGATTTCTAAAAATTAAAAAAAAAAAAAAAAAAAAAAAAAAAAAAAACACAAAGAGACTTGGAAAAAAAATAATTTCTTTAATGTACATTTTTAACATCTTCTAATTTTTAAAGCATTGAATATTTTTGCTGCATCATCATATGGAAAATGTTCTATATCTACTTTTTCATCAGCTATTCTCCTTAGGTTGCTCAAATGCATATTTGTTTCATTTCGATCGTTTCTGCCCACATTTGTTTCATTTTCATTTGTCCGTTTTGGAGTAGAAGATATTGCCTTTACAACGTATTTGTCCATCTTGCATTAATGCACAAAAAATTTGAATGTCTTACATGAAGAAACCTTACCTACAGTAAACACATGGTTCCAGAGAAATGCGTTCTGAAAGAGGTTCGGAGGGATGGTGTTCTGTTGTTCTTAAAGGTTCTGAACAATACTGGTAAATAGGGAAGCTAGATAATGAGGTAGATATTGAAAATAATGAAAGATCCAGGAAGAAAAGTGAAAAGGATTTTATTCTAAATGGTGCAATGAGAAATTCTTTTCAAAATGCGAGAAATTCGCAAATTTTGAAATTGGTTTATAGAATGCGCGAATTTCTCGCGGTAATAATTTTTTAATGAGAGAAACGAAAAAAATATACGAGATTCTCGCGCTGTAGTGAAAACACTGGATACAGTACACTTTATCCCTTGAAAAAGGATACAAATTATGACTATGATGTTCAAATTACTATATATTTTGAAAATATTCCTTTTCAGTGTTAATGTAGTCTCCCCAATATGATGCTAAACTTGTTAGATTGGGTTTGGTCTTAAATTTAAACTTGTTTCCTACAAATGACAAGTACTATAATTAACTTTTCATTTCGAGTTTGAAAAATTTGTATTAGCTGTTCTATTATTATGCATCAATTACTTTTGAATGTAGTTTAAATATTGGTTATGATATTATTTGTTTTAGCTTTATTGCGCAAGAATTTCTGAATTTGAGAAACTTTATTTAAATTCTAGTATAAGCATTTTTCATTATTTAAGTGAAAGAATACATTTAAGAAATCACCAAACACAGGGTTGCAAAAAACCCACTTACCCAGTGGGTGAAACCCACCCTAAAGTGGGTTTTTCTAAGATTGATTTCTTTTTATCCTCTGTTATATAAAAGAGCTATTCTATTCAAATATATATGTAGTCTAGCCTAAAAAAATTAACCTAAGGTGAAAAATCTAACTATGTTGGAGACTGGAGAGTCACCTTGTTGGCTAGATCTGACTGTATGGCTTAGTCAGTGCCTTTGATTCACTTTCTATGCAAATAAAAAAATTTCCTCAAATATTTTTTAAGACTAAAATATAAATAAAAAGCAATCCTGTGTTAAAATAAGTTTCAAATGTGAGATGTAGGTGAATACATATAACGTTTTGTATCGTGATGTCAGATGAAACTTTTTTCAGACTTTTGCATAAATTTATTTGTATTAATTATTAATTACCTATATGCTAAGTCAATTTATAAAATTAAACTTAATTATTAATATTATAACAGGCTTTTTTAAAATAAGACTTATTCCTGCCCTCTCTTTTGAAAAAAACTCCATTTAAACATAAAAAGCCCAAAAAAACCCAAAAAAGTCCAACAAAAACCAGATAAACCCACCCGGATTGGGTTTTTCTAGAAAACCCCAGGTTTTTTGCAACCCTGAAAGACTTGAAAACTACAAACTAATATCCATAACATTAAAACATACCTGTAAAAGTATGAGCACCCTCTGACACTATTGTGGCTGAAATGTTCACTGTGCTTTTCATTCCCAAAATCTTCAAGTGGATCTGACCACAAAAGATCGCACATGGGTCCAAATGCCGGAGGCTCCTTAAATCGATCAAGCTGCGAACAAAGCAACAAAATTTTAGTTTAATTTTATACAATAGGTATTTAACTTAAAAACCATAAAATCACAGGCAGACAGGTAGCTTAAAATGTTTCCACTTTTCTATGCAAGTAATGAGAGTTTACAGCCCTCAGAAAAATATGACAAATGAAAGAAAAAAAAATTTAAAACTTCAAACTTAAATTAATTGATTTAATATTTTACCTTTTTAAAAGTTTGCAATTAAGTAAAAAAAATTAATCAAAATCACATTTTTAGTTATAATAATACCGTAGCTGATTGTCCCAGAAAATGTGCGCACCTGGGGTTACAAGTGTTCAAATTTGACTAAATAGGAATATGAAACACTTTAGCTACTTTTAAACAGCTGTTAGTTTTCAGTAGATAGATAATTATGTGATAATCCTGATTTGCATATTTCCCCTTTTACATCTACTATACTTTGATGAAAAGCTTAGTTTTTGAAAGAGGAAAAAATCAAATATTTAAAACAAAAGAATGAAATTTTCCTTCAAAAAAAAATTTTTTTGATAACATTGGCATCTGCATTATGCAAACAATAATGACTAATTACACAAAAAAATGACTAATTACACTAAAAATTTTTTAAAATATAATAGACATAATCACAAAAAATTCACACATTTTATAGATAAAGGAAAACAATTCAAATAGCTAATTTAGTTTTAAATTGAATGTAGCATTAAAAAAGTGAACCTTTCTTATATCATCCAAGTTATGAACTTCAGGGGAGAGTCCGCCATGAACACAAAGGAATTGCTGATTCATAAGAGCAGATAAAGGTAGGCAGTCAAAGGCATCCATACAGGCATCATACACACGTTCTGAATATTTAATTTTACCTGTAATAAATATTATTCTGTAAATGTTATATCATAGCAAGTTGAGTAAAAGAAAGAGATAAAATAAAATTTAAGGCAGCGGTTCCCAATTTTTTCAGGCTATGGAACCCTAAACGATTAAACTTCTTTCGGCAGAGACTTAATATAATAATATACTTAATAAATAAAGTATATTAAGACAATTGCAAAAATATTAATAATCAATGAGAGACTTTATTTTGAAAATACTTAATAAGAGGACTGAAATTTTCGTTTTTTTTTCTTTCTTTCTTTAATAATCCTAAAATTGGTTTTTTGTCCGACAGTTAAATTAGCAGTCCTGAAGCTGTATCTAGTTTAGTTATGAATTTGTTTTTAGTGTGTACACACAAGTTCAAAATGAACAAAATAAGCAGAATGGTTTTCTAAATATAACTGCTATAAATGTTGAAAAAGTTATTAGGAAAACATATTTCTTTATTAATGATTATAGTTAGTTCATTTCGATTTTAAAAGAGCGATGGGAAATAATAATGCAATGTCGAACATGTTATTTTCAAAATTAATTTTCTATATAGTCAGAAGAAAAATTATATTTTTTTAAACAAAAATTTGCCATTACTTTTTTATTAGCATAATTTAAAAATGATAATCAAAACTTTCAATAAATAATGGATTACAGATCTAAATATAATTACAGGTTTCAAAAATCATTACTAGTTAAAGAAAAAAATCTTAATTTTCAGAACCCCAGGGCTCGGCAGAAAACCATTTGGGAACCACTGATCTAATATATTTAATAAGCATACTAATTAAACAAATTAGTAAAATTGATTAACTTCAGGTAAAGACAAATGATTTGTTTACTAAATACTTGAAGTTCTGGTTCTTCTAGTTTAAAATAAAAACTAAAAAGAACTTTTTGAGATGGGGTAACTTACGACGTGGTTAATTTTTTAAAAAAAAATGGTAAAATGTAATGTTTAAAATATTTTTTTCGAAATTAAAATACACAATCCTAAAAACACACATTGAGCTTGATCCAACTAAACAAAGTTTAAATCTCTAAATACTACGTACATTTGATTTGAGCAAAGATTATTCTTCCAAGCATATTTCTCAATTAAATTACATTAAAAAAACATGTTTGCAAGGTAAGAAAACAAACAGGTCCTATGCCAAATTGACTACAAGCCAATATCATAGAAAAAATCACATCTAGCACAATTACGTATACAGACAAACTCCTTTTACAGAGATAGGAATATTATTCAATATTTTTTTCATTATTTCTTTATAAATTTATCAGGGTTAATAATAATTTTATAAAAACTAATTTAAACTAAACTGAGGCCTGTAAGCCACAGAGTTTCAAAGGCTGTAATTCTCAAAGGCTGTTCAACAGTAATTCTTAGGAATTCTGAATAATCACCATAAATTTTTGGACACCTTTCATTAATTTTAAGTTAAATTTAGTATAATTTTTCAAATGCCTTAATTTAATGAATTAAAAATGCTCACATTTATCATAAATATTTGCTTTATAAAACTGTATATTTCTTCACAACTAATCAGAAATTAAATTTAATAGTATTTTTTAAACATATAAAAAATTTAAATGCATTAAATTAAACAATTTTAATTCCACGGTACGACATTTTTATTTCCTTTAAAAGTGCTTAGGCATTAATATATTATCATATAAATATCAAATTACAATAACATTTAAAATGACATTAAATTATCATCATATATAAACACAAAATAAAGTTTTAAAAAAATTAACCTAATAGTTTATACATTTTCACACGAAAAAGAAAAGTGCTTACATTCTGTTTTAAACGTGAAATACTCAGTTAAATGTCGACACTCATGATTTCCTCTCAGCAAAAATATCGTAGTGGGATAATTCAACTTCAGAGACCATAAATAAAGAACACACTGAAATAAAATTGATCATGTATATTTGATGACAATAAATATCATGAATTTTTTAAAAAGTGAAAACACATTCTTAATTACAATCATAAAATTTATTTCATCACAGCCAAAAATAGCACATCATACCAATTTTATTAGCTCCTTAGAAACAAAAAATTCTTATTAGCATAAAAAGTTTTTTATCACATAAATAAATTTTTAATACAAAATATTGAGATTTTTTTTATTTTATTTAATAATAATAGGTCAGCTAATAACTTAAGACTGTTGTAATATATTGTGAAAGTAGAAAATTCTTGTATTCTCAAATCCAGAGAAAAAGTAAAAAATAGATTTAAGCTTTACCCTACTGACAACTGATAAAGAGAAAAAATTTTATGCATAAAGCACTTAATTTTACATAAAAGTGGAAACTAGTTTTTGTTTATTAAAATAAAAAATAAAAAAAAGAAAATTTATTGTTTGTCTTAACTGACGAATAATACAGATTACACTTAGTAAAAAAAAAAAAATTTTAAATGCTTTTTTTGATAATAAAAATAACTAAATAAATTGAAGACTACCTTTTTGGCGATATAATAAGTTTATAAAATTTTTAAGCATTTGATAATTAGCAAAAATTTTGAGTTGAAAGCAATCATTTTTTCTCATTAAAACAATTTTTTTTTTCAAGATAAGGGAACTCAGCTAGGAAAATGAATCAAATATTAATAAGAAACTTATACACAATTTAAATAGTTTAAACAAAGAAAAATAGTTAAAAAACAAACCTCTATGCTAAAATATCCTCTATCCACATAATCTCCAAGAAATAAATATTTAGTTGTAGCAGGCGGACCTCCAACTTCAAATAATTTCATTAGATCAAAAAACTGACCATGTATATCTCCACAAACTGAAAATTAAGATGATTAAAATTAAAAACAAACTTCAGTTAAATGAATATATTTTTATTATTTATTATTATGATTTAGGATTTATCATTATTATTGTTTAATTAGAAATTATTATTATTTTTTTAATTATCTTCCTTTTTAGCACTGCAGCCTGTCACAAGCCAGAGCCCTCTCCATGAGTTTCCTCCATCTGTCTCTGTCTGGAACCATAGATTGCCATTGGTTGATTCAAAGATTCCTCAGTCTAAGATCTCTCTCAACAGAATAAACTCGTTTGAATTATTTTTCTTTTTTTTCTTTTAAACAATATGAATTATAGTGGAAAGGCAGCTTGACAATATTGCTCAATGTAGAATTCTTATAAACCTATTGCTTACAAATATATATATATATATATATATATATNAAAATAATAATATAATAAAAAAAAACATTTTATATCTATATATATTTCCTTCTTCATTTTTTTAAAGGCAGTTATTTGAAAAATTTAACTTACAGATTATATTCTACATCTTTATTTTTCTCTTAAATCATGTTATAAACATTGGGAAATAATACCATTGATAACTAAAATACAAAATATGTCACATGTGATTTAAAACAAACAAATTCTTAAAAATAATATTTGAATACACATGTTGAACATAATAAGAAAGAAGTGAAAAGTTTTCAAGGTAAACAATTTCACAATATGTATGTTACATAATCAGGAAAATAAATTCATAATCAAGCACAATAGAAATGAAAATAAATATTTCTACTTTCTGTTCCTTATAATAAATAAATAAAATATTGATCCTTTTCAACTGATAGGAAACTAATTCTACAGTTTTGAAAGCTATTTACATTGGTGTTTGGTCTTTTAAAAAAGTTTTGAGGAATTAATTCTGCAGTTTGCAAGAGTAGATATATTTTCAAAGGAATAAATTTACATTTATATGGTTGATTCTTTTAAAAAGAGAAATATTTTTTAATGCAGCATAAATAATTTATCATAAAAATTCAGGAAAAATTACTAAATTCCCCTTTTGCAACTAAAGTTAATTTTTGGTGCAATTTAGTTAATGCCTGTTAGGGAACAAATTGGACAAAATTTTATAAAGAATCATTTTAGAAAACAGTTAATGATTAAGATTAGAATATGTTTTGAACTATCTCATACAAAAATGTCAGATTTTGAAACAAGATGATGCAGTAGCCATTTTAAAACATTAGTCATTCAAATACTACCAATTAACTTTTTCAAATTTATTTACATTTATTTACTACCAACATGGATAGGAAAAAATCCAGCAGATTTTACAAAATATAAATTTCATGATAATTGTTGAATTATGTACTAAATATTTTACACATAGGGAATTTTAGGGATTTTTATAATCATTAAAATACAAAAACTAATATTTTCCAGTTATGATTGCCATTAAATATGCTTGAAATGTCATGCATTATGTTTACCCATAATTTTGAATAGTAATTAATAATTATTTAATTCATCATTAGTTAAAAAGATTTTTAATTATATTAAAAAAGGAGTTCAGAAAAAAATAAACTGAGCATTTCAGAATAAAAAGAGTTTTTTAAACTGATTTCTATAAATGAGGCTTGCTTCATTATATATTAAGGATATTTATTTAAATATTCAAGCAAGCATTAATCTGTGCAAAAAATTCTATTTCAATAGGGAATTTTTTAGAAAACCTACTCAATTTTAGGGAATTTTCCAAAATGTACAAAAACCAGGTGAATTTTTATTAAACCAGTAAACCAGGAGAAACTGGCAAAATCGAGTAGAGTTTGTAGCTATGTATTTACTAAATAACAAACATTTTAAGCTTTAATTAAGTACATATCAGCTACTTTCAGCACTGTTTAAAAAGGAAAAAGAAAGAAAATTGTGATTATCAGTATCATTACCATTAAATCTTAATATTACAGATAAGTGCAGATTGACTTGGAAAGATCAAGGCCCATAATATACCATTTTAAATATTATTTAAAAAAAGTTATTATGCCAAAAGACTAACAGTTTTGGGAAATTTCGATTCAAAAAGAAATTTTCTTCTAAGGAAATATTAGGCTCAAAGAATTTTCCACACTCCTGCTTATTTGTTCATGAATATTTCCAATAAATCATGACAATAATATATTCCTTGATAAGCAAACCATTTATAATTTTAAAAAATATATAAATGTTTGTTTAAATGAGTTAATAATTTTTTCAATCAATCAATTCAAAGGTTTAATTAAGTTACTATCAATAATTTAGTACAGATATTAGAATAAATTTCCTAATTAAATGTTGTTTTATCATTTTATAATAGTTTTAGTAAGTCTACATTCCAATTTATACAGCTTAGCATCAATCAAAGGAATACTTTCGAATTTCCATAATACAGAGAGCTACAAAACTAATTTTCTTGTAACCACAGACTTCAGGAGAGGTGTTAAAATGGGAGTAAATGAAAATTGATTTTACATGTAATGAATAGATGATTGTTGTGTGTTTTTAAAAGATGATTGTTGTTGTATTTTTAATAATTAAACAAATAAACAGATTGGATAAATTGCAATTTTACACATTTTAAAACCTAATTATTTAATATTTCCTACAAAAAGAATTTTTATTTTTGACATTAATTGCCAAAACCAAACGAGAGTTTAATGTCAAAATAATCCAAGAGCATAATTGATTGATCACTTGCAATTTTATTTGTATGTTTATTTATAAATATTTCATATTTATAATAGCTAATCATTATCCTTACTCCAAAATTTTGAGGTTTTTAACAATTGTCAAAAACTTGCCAAACCTGCTAAACAGATTTATTTTTTTATATTTTTTACAAAATCATGAACAAATTTTAGTAAAATACCTGTGACTGGTGCTTCAATATCAATCATAGTTTTTTCAGCCCTTAAAAGTGCAGCGCCTTCATTAATAATTTTTAAAGCACAAGGTTCATCCAATCTTCCTTCTAACACAAAATGCTGTTTCAGAACATCCATTCGCGGCTTTCCATTTTTAGAATCGAAAACTTCACTAATATTCAGCTTATGGCTGGGCGGAAAAGGAACGCCTAAAAAATAATTAAAATTAGAAAAAACCAAGAACATAATTGACTATACTTTTAATAAAATAATTAATAACAATGAATAATAGAAATAGGAAACTTGTACAACTTATACAATTCATTTTTCTTTTGAAAACTGCTGTTTTTAAAAAGCAGCTAACTTAACTTTATATACAGATAGTTATTTTTTTTTTTTAAATTTAATACTGAACTTCAAATAATTTTAAGGTCAACTTTAGGAGCATAGCATGCACACTATAAGTTGGCAGATTTACTTATAAGAGGAGCATTAAAAAAAAATTATAGAATAATTGAGAAAATTTTCTATAATAGATCATTAACTCTGTACATTTCAGTATACAGATAGTTATTTTCAATATACGGATAATAATTTTTTTTTCTTAAAAATTTAATTATTGAACTTCAAATAATTTTAAGGTTAACTTTAGGAACATAACATACAACCTCTAAGTTGGAAGTTTTACTTATAACAAGAGCATTCACCTTTTTAATAGAAAAAAAAATGTTATAGAAAATAATTGAGAACATTTTTTATAATATTTCATTAACTCTGTACATTTTAGTCTGAATATTAACCTCAGATTTGGTAAACTGCTAAAACTAAAGAAGGTTAAAGAAACTGCTACTATTATTAAGAGTATTGTAAATATTCACTTCAGATTCTATTTAAAAAATACATGGTAACAATTTCGATTTATAATGTTAAATTTTTAAAAATAGAATTATAATTAAGGTTTAACTAAAAATTGACATGGCAATACATAAAACTATATCACTGCATTAAAAATTGTTTAATGAAAGCAAATATACGATTTAAATGTATTAAAAATTGAACAAAAATGTGTTATTACAACTAAAAAAAAACCTAAAAGAATCACAAAATTAATTTCCCTGATCTTTTACAACAATAACATATGAAAACTAATGAAAATTACAATAACATATTTTGTTGCAATATCTTTAAAGTTAACAACTGATACAACTGCCCATTAGCAAGGGGTCTGCATAAGATTCTGCTTTCATAATTTAGTAAAAATATAGACAAATGAATAAAAATTTAATAAATTTATGAAAAAAGTCTTTTTCCATTTAAATAAATTATAAAACCATTTAATAGTATTTACAAATATTTAATCCCTTTTATTACAGATTGAGCGCCAATTGAAGACGTTATTCATCAACTTTTCGAAGGAAGAATTTTGTGTTGGTCTGTTTTTAAAATGAAAAATATTGTAAAAAGGCCATTTTTGAGATAAAATGTTTTCTTAAATTATCTGTTTTAAAGATAAAATAATTTGAATAGCATCTTTTAATGGCTCAAATTTATTCTAGAGAGATCCTTGTCAACTCTCTAACTAAAATGCAATAAATTCAAAATTACAACCTATTTTTTATTATTATTTCCAAAGGCTCATTAAAAGACAATTGAATATGTAACAAACAATAAATCTATGAATGAAAGCCAGCAGTCCAGTAGCGTTCCCAGATTGATGTCTGGAGAAGAGCAGGGCATCTAAACAGAGGAGACAAGTCCAACTCTTCGTGGAGATCACCCAAGGTAAAAAAAAGATCAGGAACCAGTCTGATGCACCGTAGATGTTTATTCAGGTAATCACGTCTAGATATCAGACAATACATGGTGACAGATTTCATCCTAGGCTTCCAAGTGACATGGAGAATCTGTTTAAACCATGTCTTATTCAAATTGCAATTTTTGAGTTCTTTGCGGAAATAGTCCCTGAAGATGTTCTTTATTAGACATATGATATTATTAAAAGGAAGACTGGGATTCTCTGGTGGACAATGCCCCCCCCTTCTTTTTGCCTGGAAATCGGCCCTCTAATTTACCAGAAATCCACAGTGGGGCAGAATCCATTGAAGCATTACTGTCTTATTATTGCTGGCAAACCAGTTGAGAAGATTTAAGTAATTAGCTAGGATTAAAGTTCTAGATCAGCTGGATGCATCAATCACTTGATGTGCGTGAATCATACAATTTTTGAAAAAAAGCCTAGATGTTGCCAAAGTTGTGTCAGGACTTGGGAAATGGCTTCAATCTCACCATCAACAGCCGATTGATAAACACCATTGGGAGCATAAAGGCAACAAAGTTCACAGCAAACACTAGCACCGGCGTCAACACAACCGCTCATTCAGGAACCATCAATATAAATTCTTAACCATTCCTCCCCAGGGTAAAAGGATTCCATTGTTTCGAGAGCGAGAGTTCTTAAAACTGTATCACTAGTCTCCGCTTTTGAGACATACAAGATCAGATCAAGGCAGAGAGAAAATCCTTTGCTAATAATGAGGTTGATGGGAAGAGAGAAGTGTGCAACCACGAAATTCAAATCAAACTTAGATACTATATCTGTAATTCCCTGCAGGAATCCAATTTGTGTTTTCATGTTTCTCCCATTAACTAGGGAATCCAGACTCAACAGAGTCAATCAGCCAGAAGTTCTAAGTAATTTCCCCCAAAGGAAAAGGGCTTTCACCTGAATAATCATCTTGAAAGGCTTGTTATCCCTGCTGAGCAGCACACAGTCAATAGGTGTAGTTTTCACAACTCCCATAATCAATCCCAGAGGCTGATTTTGAAAAATCTCAAGAAGGTAAAGAACCGGCTCTGATCCTGTGATCAGTGGCTAGCAACAGTAATCAAAAACGGGCAAAATATACGCTTTGTAAGAAGAATTCAAAATTGCTTTTGAGCAGTTCCATTTGGAGCCTGCTAGTATTTTTAAAAGATGAAGTCTTTTCAGAGCATGACAGTGTCTTCCAAATGAGATCTCCGTGTAAGTTGCCTGTCCAAAACCACACCCAAGTATTTGAAGTTATCAGATGGTTTCTGGAGACCTTAGTAATAAATTTGTGGGTGAAAAGGTTGGTGCATGAGAGAAAAAGACTCTACATGTCTTGTCGGAGTTGACCTTCATATTATTCAATGATCCAAGGAACTTTCAATGATCATAAATTACAACATGTAATAACAAGCCTATTTAATGCTAAAATGTAAATGTGTTTCAAGTACAGCATAGCACAATATTCTCTGCTACAAACTAAAATTCAACTAGTGGCTATTGGGTACCCTTATGGGTAGTGGCTATACCCTTCAAGTTGGTCCCCTTGTGTGATTTTTTTTAAAATTTATTAATTTAAAAATTCTGAATTCAAAATTCACAATTTAAATTTATATATAGATTCTGGAACAAAACAGTTGATTCAAGGAATACAATAATTAATACATTATAGGATTATTAGTTCAATAGATTTGAGATATAAAATTTTTTACAAATATGGGCATAAAAAAATTATAGAGCTTTTAAAGAACTATTAGTTAACAGGGGTCTGTCTAGGTTTTTCTGAGAGGTACCTATTTTGTGAAAATTTAGACATAATTTGTGAAATTTTAAAATTATATTAAAAAATCAACACAAAAATATGGTATAAATATGGATTTATCGTTTCTTAAGGCATACAAAAATATTTCAAGAAAAAGTATTTTGTGAAACTACCGTTTTTCCTAAAGTTAAATTTGTGAAGGTACTGGTAAAAAGTAGTAGATTTGGCCTTGACAGATCCCTGGTTAGTGTCAATTAATACAAAAATAATTTTTCTTTGATGCAATAAAAACACTAGCAATTTTGTCACAATCATTATACGCCAATCAATACGCCAAATTGTGAATAATTTACATAGTATTTTAATTATATATTAAACTAGGTACACTATATATAACTTAGAAAGGGGAGTTTGAGTCAATAGATCTACTTTTCAGTTTTGATTTTTTGCCTCATTAAAAAAATATTGCTGAAGTTTTTTTTTTTTACAAGATAAATAGCTTATTTCTCACCAATCAAAATCGTTTTTAAAAAGTTCTGTTGGAAATTTTATTCGAATTAATTCTTTTGAGGAAAAAAAAAATAAAAAACTGAACAATGGACTAATGTAACCCAACACTTTAGTACATTGGTCTACCACATGACAAAAAAATATACAAAAACAATATGAAAGATAAATATTAATCATTTTAAAGATTAATAGATTTAAAGTTTAATAAAACAAGTCTCTAATTGCCAAAGAAAACATTTCTACTGCAAACAATTATTTCTTTTGGCATGAATACTATAATTGAAAACCGATAGAAGTAAAAAAATATATCAGACAATAGAAGTGTAATTAAAAGCCTGATATTTCCTGAATCAGGTTCAGGAAAAATTAGACATCTTTATACATTATTATTTAATAAACATTTGTTAAACATAAAAACTATTTAAACTATTTCTATCATGTTCAATATTGATATTAAAAATATACAATCTCAAAATCTTATACCTGTAAAAATTTTGATCTTAGTCGTACTTCCTTATAAAGAATACCTAATGTTTTATAAAAATTTAATAGTTCATTTTTTTTTTTTTAAATTTAAGTACTTGGAAATTTTTTGTTAATTTTTAGCAGCATAGGTTCAAGATAGTCTCCTTAAAAAGTCTTTTTTGCCCATTTATCTTAAGAGCTATATTTTAAATTTTGTTCTAGTTTAATAAAAGGTGAAAAGCAACATTTCAAACAAATTTGTTTTTATTTATGGTGAATAAAACTACAATAGTGTAATTTATGTACATAAAATGTTCATTTGTAGACAAGAGGAAAGTTTATTAGTAGAGAACCTGTAAATGTAACAAGCTGTTATTTTGTAAAATGTTATCTAGTGGAATAATTGTAATTCATTGCTGTATTTCTACAGAAACAAATAAATTTTAGAAGGTAAAGTAGTTAAGTTTAAAAATTATGTAGCGATGCTAAATTACAACTTGTTCAAATAAAAATGGCACCCTTTTGCTGAGGCATATGATTCTTTTACAGAATTTATAGTACTAGTAGTGCAACATGTTAATGGAAAAAAACAAGCTAACATATTTAATAGTATTAAAATAATTAAGCCCTGTCCAATGTTACCCTTGGTCTGACCAACCTACCTCTCCTTATATATGATATTTACAAAAAATATTTTGAATTGCAAACTTTAGTTTTTCTTCTAAAAAAATTACAGTTAGTGTGTAAAGTTTTTCAAAAAACTGTGTTTTTTTTTTACTATATATAAATTACTTATATATTAAGTTTCCAATAATTCTTTCAAACATATTTATAGCTAAGATAATTTAAAGACAATTTTCATCAAATCTCTCAACTTTTTTACTTAGTACCCCTATCCCATATATTATGGAATTTTTATATAAGAGCTTTAATTTAATTTAGAAAAAAAAAATGCTACATAAAATTAAGCAATACAATTACTTTTTGGCAAAAAACAAAGTTTACACTTGCTTTATAATACATTTATCCTACCTGTATTTGTACAGCTGAAGTAAAATAATATCAATTTAAAAAAATACTAAACATTTCTTCTTTTTTCATTAGGAACCATAACTGCTGAAAAACTATCAATTACCGACAACAAAAAAATGATTGAAATTATAGAAATATCAATTTTCAAATAAATATGAAACTGCAGAACTTTAATATAAAATACACTATAAATCATCGTAATTCAACATACATTAATCATAATAAACATATTTTGTAATTCTAATAAACATTATACACTTCAAAATACTATTTTTTCATAAAATATTTAATAAAATTATAAGAAATTTAAAATTCGATTACCGATACGTTAAAAAAAGCAATCTAGCATGAAAGCTCTATCCTTTATAAAATATGCATTAAATGTTACAAGGTTAACTATCTAGGCCAGAAAGAATTATTGATCTTTCAATTAGCAAGATAATAAATACCAATAAGAAAGCTCACTTATTAAATACAAAAGTTATTTCAAATTGTATCAATTCCGTGAGAAGAATTACCCTATGAGGAAAAAGCTATAAAAAATACACTTTTTAAACATAGCAATTTGAGATACTAACTTTTTACAATACGATCAGATGGTACCGCTTTAACGTTATTAGCTGTCATAATGATGCATAAACTAAATTTAATTATAAATAACCAATTACTGAAAAGATTTGTTTTTATTAGCTACAAACTGAAAGAATTTAATATTTAGCATCCATACTGCAATGAACGATTCGTTTCGGCACTACTAGTAGACGACGTTGCCAATGTGGGACTTAAATACCGAAACCACCTGTTAAATAATAAAATCCAGGTAGAAGTTGTATGGAGAAAACGAAACTAAAGTAACACGAAACTCTAATGAACTGTGAAATAAATATAATTGTACTAGATTTTAATACTCAAAATAAAATAATTAAAATATATAAACAAAATCCGACGAAGAGTTTGCATGTTCAAGGATTTTTATTTCACATATCCATAAATTTAACAAAAATTAATGATATTTTAAATCAAGCAGAATCATAGAATGAATTTTTTCATAATAGATTATTAATTTAGTTATTGCAATATTATATTCAAGTTATTAGCGTTGACACGAATATTTTAGACGATTTATTTGATTGAAATTAATAATTCTAGGATATATTTAAAAATGTATTTCATTTAAATTAATTACATCATATGCTACATACAAGCCTTTTTGTATTTTTTTTCTTTCAAAAAATTATAAATGTGAAGCTGTACAATTTTCCAGTTTATTGTTAATTGTTCGCATAACGAACGGTTGCAACGTAACGATACTTTGTCGTTTTTTAATTTCGTGAGCAAGTCATAGTTATGAAAGAAGAATGAGAGAAGTTTTCAATTTATTCCGTACAATCAGAACACAAAGTATAAAATATGGTGAAAAGTGTTCTGTTTTGTTATCATGTTTAGTTTTAAATTTTCAAGATATTGATGAAAATATTGAAATTTATATGGTAATTTTGTTATTTCTTTGTAAAAGTGACCCCAAACTTCATGTTGCTGTATGAATAATTGATTTTATGCGAGAAAAATTAAGTAAAATATATTTATATGCTGAATTTTTTGCCAACTCCTTTTTTTTTTTGTAAAATATTTCGTGTAAATGCTCAAGTTAATTTATTACTATGTAGCTTGTTTAAAACAAAACGGGAAACAAAAAACCTCTGCAGGAAGAAACGGCATCGTTTCCCCATCAAATTAATTTCACTTTTTAATGTTTTCTGAATTTTTGAATTTGTTTGAAACTAGCATTATCTTATCAGATATATATGGAAGAATGTGATGATTTAAAACGTCGGAAATTTGTAAATAAAGGAGATAAAGGAAACAATAATTAGGTGAAACAATAATGTTGGTAAACATTATAATAGAGAGTCATGAGAAGTTCAGTATTAGAACATTTAAGAACACTCTTTTAATTAATTTGTGGAAATCAGCAAAAAACTATGTATATAAGCTGTTTGTGATGGTTTTATCTATGTCTAACACAGTAAAAAACTAACATGTCAAAAACTTGCCAACCCTGATTAATAATCTATTAAAAATATTTGCCCAAATTCCTTGGGAAGATTTCTTTGGTGGTGCCTATGTCAAAAAGTCTGGCGAGTTTTGGGCATTACCAATGGAGAAACTAAAAAAACACACAATATGGAATAAACTCAACCACTCTTGGGCAAACACTATTTACGGTTGATCGTGTAAAGCTAAACGCAGATGGCCTTAGCGGTTATTAAAATAAAGCACCATCCAATATTATTATACTTGTAGTGTTTCCACCTGTTAGAATTTATAAATTGAAGAAAACTCGTATGAGTGGTAAAATTGCAGGGGAGATTTCTGTATCATGATCTATAACAGAATAATCGCCAAGTCTTGGCAACTTTCGTGCGGCGGCCCACGAGAAACTAAAAAAAAACATCACAGAAAGGGACCAACTCAAAAGGTATAGCTCGGAACCACCCGCGCAAACATCTACATGTTTTTTATTTATTTATTTGCAAGTTTGAAATCTGCCTGGCACCTTGGTCATTATTGTTAGCTTGACAGATCACAATAAGTCCCACAGTGGACTGATCGTTAAGACACGGTTCCCAGCAGATCACCGAAGTCAAGCATCACTGGCTACGGTCAGTGTGCGGGTGGGTGACCACTTGGATCAGTCTGCGTAGGGACCGAGGATGTGCGGTATTGGTCCTCGTTAAACGGTGCTACCGTAAAGTGCTCGACTTCGCGTGCAGGTCCTCGAGCTACCGAAGCAGGGGTGCCATCCCCTCCGCAGAGGATCAAAATTGCGATGGCATGTCTTCGGATCATCCTCTGGGATGTTTCCCAGACCGTCACCAATAGCCCATTGTGCAGCTCTAGTGCGACGTAAATTAACAACATCACAATAAGGAAATATCCCCTAATTGCCCGTAAATTTAAACAAAAATCGCAATAATAAAACTTCCTTGAATATTAAGCCTGTTCCCACATCGCCTCATAAGCAGAGAGATACACCAGAAGTTTTCTGAATTTCTTCCGCTATTAAGAAGCTTGTTATTGTTTACATTCAGTCAACCATTTGTGTATTTTCTTTCAATTGTTTCTAGTTAAAATGGCAATTTCAGTTAACATGAATAGGTATTGAAAAGGAAACATCCTCATAACCATAAAATATCTGAAATAATCTAAATTTATTTGCCTATTCTCTTTTTTTAAAAAAAAACAGCTTGTATAAATAAATTTGTATTGAAATTTTATTTCTTACTCGAGAATGTTTGTTTTGAAATGTATTACAATTAATTAAATAAATGCATTCTTCATATTTTTAGGTTACACCATATCATAAGGACCACATCAAAAACTAATTTTCTATCCACAATGTCAACAAAAGTAATGCCAAAATTTATTAAATATGTTCTGAAAAATGTATTAAATATGTACATATATATGTTTTTATATGTAAATTGAAATATAATCTGATAAATTGCATCAGCAGATTTCTCTGTTTATGATTTTGTAGCATTATATTAGTTATAAAATACACATTAATTTTTCAGTTTGAGTTTTTCAAATGCCTTGGTCTTGTTAATGTTATTGTGGAAACCACTACAGCATTTTTAAAAATAAGAAATCGAGAAAGCTCTTTTAGCCTTTTGAATTGCTTTTTATGTGAATTTGTGCAAAAATTTCCTTGCCAAACACAGTATCCCTGTTTAATAACCCTTGGGTAAAACTGTTTTTCTGTTTAGAAAAGCGCAAAAAAATGGTTGACAGTTAAAGAAATATTATATTATAAACCACCAAATCTAAAATAATTAATTTCATATCAGGTTTTATTTGGATATTTTAAAACTAATTGTGGTTACCTTAATATTTATATTTAATTTCATGTGTTTTAATATTGTATTAGTTCTCTTTTTACAAATTAAATTTTTAAATTTCTGATTTCATTATTCAGTGACTTTAGTAGTAGCTTTCTTTGTTCCTATCTATGGTATTAAGCAATATGAGCTCTATGGCAGTGAGCAAAAAAAAAGGGACCATCCTTAATAACTTTTGATTGAATGAGCGAATCTTCACATTCTAGGACTCAATCTCAATGTTTGAATGAAGGGTGTACTCAAATAGGCTAATTAATAAGTGCATATGATATTTATTATCATGATATAAAATGATATAAGTTACGGAATTAGACACAAAATTTACTTTCTCTGAATAAGCACGCCTTTTTTTTCTTCTTTTTTTTTTGTTGACGGATTTGAATTTTTGACCCCAAAATATAGGAAGTTAATGGAAAATAATATCCCAATAGCTTGGTCAGAAGAGCTGCTCTAAAGTTTGGACCCCTTAATGTTAATCTTACTTTTTGCATATTTTGCTATATCTCGAGAATTTTTTAAGCGAATTGAAAAATTTTTGCACCCTTTTATAAAATTTGTTTATCCACAGATAACTTAGTAAGTATTTGTTATTTAATAATGGTCGAAAAATTTTGAATTGTAAGGCATACAATTTTTTCCATCATTTTAAAGAAGATAATTTAACTTTGCAAGATACAAAATTTTTGCAAAATCGGTCAAATAGTTCCTGAGAAATTTAATTTCAAAAAAGTTGTACAGTAATGAACTGATTATCCGGAACCATCGGGACCATCGCTATTCAGGATAACTGATTTTTCCGGTTTTCTGAATTGCTACAAAAAGCAGTTTTTTTTTATTGTTAAACCCAACTAAAAAAAAATTTGGAAATATAATCTTAAAAAGAAGAAAAAAACGATGAAGTAATACACTAATGATTATTTCCAAAATGAGGGTAAGGTAAAAATCTTTCAAAAAAGAAAGAAAAATCCTAAAATCTTATGAGGAAAAAAAATTTTTTTTTTTTAAATGGCAGGAAAATTCCTTGAATTTCGTTCCGGTTTTTTGGTTTTCCGGTTTTCTGATTTCCGGATAACGGGTTCTGTACTGTATATGTGAAACTAATTTCTCAGGAACTATTTGACCGATTTTGCTTTTCGCCATGTGAAATTATATTATTTAAAATGATGCAAAAATTTGTATACCTTACAATTCAACATAATCATATTTAATTATCAATGGTTAAGATTTTTTTTTTTTGTTACTTATAATATTTTACTTTTTAGACTGAACAATATGTTGGGCTTTATAAAGAAATATCAGCTGTGCCTGCTGTAACCTCTGCTGTTATCTTGCCTAAAGCAAGCAACAAGACACTGTTATTACATAGCACTTGGAGCTCTCAAGATTTAGTTAAGCTAGAAAAGACTAGTTTCTCTCGTGATTATGTGTTTGACAGTGAAAGCTTTAAAATTATTTCTACAGGAATACCTTATGATACAAATTCTTTGTAAGTTTTATTTAAGCTTTACTTTTAAATTTCTTTTAAGTATCTGATAGAGACGCAACGAAATAGAAAGCTTGGTGTAATACTTTTAATCTGGTTTTTGAGGTTGATGGGGTTTTTGGATGTTGTCAAAGAGCTTAAAGAAACAAAAATATTATTTTAATGAATTAACATAAAGTAAAGGCATACTTATTTTTTCAAACAAAATTATTTTATAAATTTTGGAAAAAATCTCTAAATATATTAAAAAATAAGATGTAAATTGTCATAAAAATAAGCTTAAAAACTTTATTCTTTATAAAAATGTATTTAAATTAATAAAATTGAAAAATAAAAATGTTTGTAGGATGCTTTACTTTTAAGATATAAATATTTAGAAATTCATTTTAGAGTATATACTCTTAGAAATTTACTATCAAATATGTTTAAATCTTTAAAATTTGTTACTTTAATTCCTCAGTAATTGCAATTTTTTAAACCTATTTAAATATTTATTTTTTTCTATAAAAATCCAGAAATTTTTTTAGCCATTTCAACAGTTTTTTTTTTTTTTTTTTTTTTAATGATTTGAATTTTATTACTGTGTTTTTTTTAATAATATTCAACTATTACATGCTGTAGTAATGTCTTTATAATTTTTTTAGCATGTAAATTTCCAGTTTATTATTATTATTTTCAATTTTTGGGTACTTCTCTGCATTGTTTAAGAACCACTGCTATCCCTATTATAAACTCAGTTAAAAAATCAAATGTGAAATCATTAGTTTGAAGCTCATATTATTTTCAAGCAAAATATTACTCTTTATAATTGTATTTAATTAAATTTATTATTTAGGGTGCATCAGTCATTTAGTAAATCGGGAGAGAAGCAGGCTATTATAAGGGGAAACAAGTCTTCAAAGAATTCTAATGAATGTTATGATTTGGAGGTAAGTTTATCTGTATTTATGAATATTTTAAGCCATTGCTTATTGCTGGAAATTTGCTTTATTTTCAATCATGTTAAAATTCTTATTTTAGCTATATAGCAAAATAACTTTTAATTACTTTTTGGTAGATATGCCTTGTACTTATTTGACATATAGTTCTAACCTTTGCTTCATCTCAGTCATTTGAGCAATAATAGGTATTGGATTGATTGATAGATGAATATAACATTTGTTATTTTTGATAAATCAATTAAAAATTTCATGGATTTTTTTTTTAAATTTATATTTTTTTAAAAATATCAAATTTATATTTTTTTAAAAATATCAAATTTATTAAATTACAAATTTAAAAATCTAAAAAGTGTTTAAATAGCCTATTTTTTGAAAATTGTTCTTTACAAATTACGCTCTTTTAAGTTTTGGACGAAAAATCATATAATAGTATGTAATATATTATGCATAACGCATAGCATTTAACATCTACAAGGAAATCAAAACCACATACTGACTTTCGCACCTTTTTTTTTTGTGCAGATTTTGGGCTGAAATTTATGGGTTTTTTTTCCCCATGGTTTTTGCCTTTACATTTTTTAAGGGTTTAGGGTGGGACCTGATACTAAACACCTGATATCTAAAAAAAAAATTGCATTGGATGTCAAACAAAGTGGTGTTTCTGTTGCCGAACAAAATGTTGCATCGAATGTCAAACTCCTTATGTCAATTCATTTATTTATTTTTATGATTTTTTTTTAAAAAGAATTAAATTATTTTACTTAAAAAAACTATCAAATTAATTTTTTTTTAAAAAATAAAAAATTTAAATAGACATAAAATGTACTGATTGTTCGTGATTTTCTCAGGGGTATGTGGTTTTTTGATAAAATATCTACTTTCACGCATGGGTTTTGCAGGTTTGGGCTTGAAATTTAGATTTATTGACATTTTGCTTTTATGTTTTTTCATGGTTTTGGGTTTCATTTTATGTCTGCTGTAGAATTAAGAGACATGTTCTTTGCTAATTAATAAGT